CCTCTCTGGGTGCCCCAAATCCCACCAAGGGAAAGGCAGTACAAACTCAAGGTGGGAGCCCGGCCACACGCTCCCCGCATGACCAGATTGGCGGTCTGCATGGTGGTCCTTGCATAGTGGCCATCGGTGTCCCGCAGGTCCCCATCCCTGAGTCCCCAAGCACTCCGTTGGGAGGGCTCCAGACCCTCTCTCTAAACTCAAATCCCTGCCCCCAGGGATGCCGGAGACACGGCCACTCAGAGACCTTCTCTTTCCATCCCCAGCCAGGTCACAGAATTCTGGAGAAAGAGTGGCTATTGTCCCTGCGTCCCCAGCACGGGCTGGACGGCCCTTCCTGCTGAGCCCTCTAGAGGCCGGGGAAATCGGGTGGCCTGGGCTCAGATCCCAGCGCAGCCCAGACCCGGGCTCAGCCTCGGCGCCCCCATCTCTGAAATGTGGGTGACCACGGTTCCCGCCTCAGGATGGCTGTGGACAGCCAGGGAGGTCCCAGACAGGGACACCAGACACTGAGCTGTGCCATCGCCGTCTGTGCCCCAGGCAGAACCTCTTCCCTTCCCACCTAACAAGGGAACCAGCAGTGGAGTAGCTTCTGTTGGCTGTTGTTGGCTGTCACTGGGCCTAGCAGGGGGCTGCGTCCACAAACCTGATGTAAACTGGAACGACCTTGAGGTTTGGGGTGGTTCCCCCAGCCCTGGAGGGCCAAGCCGGGAAGGGCGTCCACCACTGAGCCACACTCCTGGCCCTTTTTCTTTCTTTCTTTTTTGAGACAGGGTCTCACTAAGTTGTCCAGGCTGACCTCAAACTTGCCATCCTCCTGCCTCAGCCTCCCAAGTAGCTGCGATTACAGGCCTGCACTACCCAGCCTGGAAAATATCCTAAATTGCAAATTCATAGAATCGGCCACCCTACCCAACACCCGGCCCAGCCTCGCCCACCTTGAGCGTGCTCAGAACCCTGCCTTAGCCTACGGTGGGTGGCCAAGCGTCTAACACAGAGCCTGGCCCACACTGCAGCTGGACCGCGCTAGCGCTTCATTGAATACTATGCTGAACGGGAAGAGCAGAGGGTCGTCGGCGTCACCCTTCACGTAAAGGTAAACTGGAACCATTTGAGTCAGGGACCTTCTGTGTTTGCCCCCACAGCTTCAAATCCCCCCCCCCAGTGAGGTCATGGGATTCCTTGACTCCCTCAGTCCTCCCTTAACCTGACCACTCATGCAGCACGTCACTAGATTGACAATGGATTCCTCTCTTTCAGAGTTCTACTTTTCTTTTCCTCCTCCTCCCTCCTCCTCCTCCTCCTCCTCCTTCTCCTCCTCCTCCTCCTCCTCCTCCTCCTGTACTAGAGATGGAACCCAGGGGTGCTTTACCACTGAGCCACATCCTTAGCCCTTTTTATATTTTATTTTGAGACAGGGTCTCGCTAAGTTGCTGAGGCTGGCTTTGAACTCGCCATCCTCCTGTCTCAGCCTCCCGAGCTGCTGAGATGACAGGCGTGCGCCACTGCTCCCAGCACAGAGGGTTTTTTCTTTTCTTTTTAGGAGTCGATTTTCCTTATTCCCAGGGACTGAGATGATGGGGCAGGCCTGGGGGTGGCTCTGTTGCTAGTGTCCCCTTGAGAACTCACATCTTGAATTTTCTTTGAGGAACAGCTGTATTGAGATGTCCTCACACCATACAGTTCTCCCACTGAGACCTGCAAATTTGGGGGCTTGTTAGTGTGTCCACAGAACTGTGCCATCACCACAAGGAGTTTTAGAATGTTTTTGTCACCCTGCCCCACTGGTTATCCCTAGCCACCACCCATCTGCTTCCCAGCTCTGTGAATTCACCTGTTTGGGACATTTCCTCTCAAAGGAACCCTGCACCGTGTGACCTTTCATGGCAGGCATTTGTCACTCTGCATCGTGTTTTCAAGGTTCATCCATGCTGTGGCACAGGTGAGGGTCCCATTCCTTTTCATGGAACAGTAATATTCCATTGTGTAGTGCTAAGGTTTGGATATGGCTTGAGTGTATCCCTCAAAAGGTTCCTGTGCCAAAAATTGGTCCCCAGAGTGGCAGTGTTGTGGTGGCACTTTTATGTGAGGTGAGGCCTCATGAAAGGTAGAGGGACTCAGGCCAGTCTCAGGGTGGGGTGGGTCTCACTGGAGTTAATTCTCTAGAAAGCAAGTGAGGACTACTTGCTCGGCCCCTTCTGCATGATGCCCATTTCCTGCTTCTCTGCCATGCAGCCAGAGGATCCTTGCCATGCTGTTGGGACCTTCCACAACCATGAGCCAAATAAACCTCTTTATTTTATAAGTATCCAGCCTCAAGTATTTTGTTGTAGCAACACAAAACAGACCAAGACCTCCGGACGCACCACATTTGGCTCCTCCATTTGTCCTTTCAGGGACGTCTGGATGGTGCCACCTTTGGGCACCTGTCTGCTTTGCAAGTGAGCCAAATTAATTCCTGCCCCAGGGCCTTTGCCCTCACTCTTTCCTCTTCTGTCACTCCTTCTTGCCTGTGGACTCAGCCAGTCCAGCACCCATCTCTCGCGGGCTGTGGGCTCCAGCAGGGCAGGGACCCTGTTGTCTCATCCTCTGCTTCATCCTGGCGTCTAGTGCAGTGACCGCACAGGGCCACGGCTCAGCCGCTGCTTGTGGGAAGGGAGGGCAGATCAAGGGGAGGAATGGCTGGAGGCAAGAGCTAGGAGGCCCAGCACAGCCTCAGCACCGCCCCACCCACGTCTGCAGCCCACGCATTCCCCCCCCCCAGCTCAGTGCCCTGCCCGCCTGCCCCGTTGCAAATGTCCCACCGCCCGCTGAGGCCTCCAGATCGTCCCCTGGAAAGGCTGCTGAGAGGAGGAGGGGCCCTGGAGTCCCAGCCTGGCTGTCCCCACCACAGTGACACCCGCTTCCCCTGGGGGCTGTGTTCATGGGTGGACTGCAGACATGGAGGGGGGGGGCTCTGTGGTGACATCCTGAGGACGCCAGTGTGTGGAGGCCCACGTCCCTACGTGGTCAGGGGAGTGAGTGGGGCCCAGGGTCTGAGCCAAGAAACCCAGAGACCCTCCCCATGCAAAAGAGACCCTCGGGGACCAGGCTTTCCAAGTGACAAAGTCCCGCAGGCCCCTCCTGTCCTCTTCCCAACAGTTTGCCCCACACCTTCAAGGAGCCAGCCCATGAGCTAGGGAGGGCGTGGAGGATCAGAGAAGTAGAGCGAGTTGCCCAAGGTGGCCCAGCCCCGGAGGTCTGGAGCCCGAGCCTGCGTCAACCCCAGCCAAGTCCAGACACTGGACCAAGTCACCACACAAAGAACTGATGCCGTTGCTAACTGAGCCCATGTCCCCTGCTCAGTTCACAGCTGCAGAAACCGAAGCCCAGAGAGGCTGAGTGACTCATGCAAGGCCACACAGCAGTGAGTGAAAAGCTGGGGTCCCTGTGTCTCTTGCTTGAGTCGTTGACCCACAGACTCCAGACCCTCCCCCAACCTACTTCCGTGACGGAGAGCTGGGGGGGAGGCGCCAGCTGGACCCCACAGTGGAGTCTGGGAGGCCTGCTGGGCCAGGCTGATAGGCCAGCCACGAGGACGAGGACAGGCCGTTTCTGCCCCACGAGGAGGAAGTGGTTTTGCCTGTGCGCTCAGGGGGCCGAGGGCGGGCAGCCGCACACAGCGGGTCCCAGCTGTCCCTCAGGCCTGCGCCCTGGCCCTCAGTGCATGTGGAGCCCTCAAGTGCTCTAGCTAAAAACAGAAGAAACAGCTGAACACCCAAGAGTGAGCAGATGGGGGGGAATCCAGCCCTGGACTCCTGGGCCTTGACACCAACACCATCCCGAGACACAAGGTCAAGAGCATTTCCACAGAGACAGTCTGAGGGGACCCTGTGCCAGGGGTGAGACCTCAGCCCAGTCCAGGCTGGGTCCAGCTGTGGGCCTTGCACATGCTGCAGGGCCACCTCCTGCACCCTTTCTGCTCACCCCCCCCCCAGTCGGGTTGGCTTCCTCTTGCCGTCCTGTGCCCCTTGCTCCAGGTCCCCTGGGCTCCTCTGGGACTGCCACCAGCCCTTCCTGACTGGCTTCCACCTGGCAGTGAGGACCTTAGAGACTTGGGCCGTCTTCATTGCTTGGGGGAATACAGTCACCAGAGGGTGGGGTCTGCCCTGTCCTGGGTCCTCCCTGTGGCCCCCAGGGGCTGGCACACAGTAGGTACTCAGTGAAGGCCTGTCCAGGCCCGGGGTGGGAGTCGCCGTCCCTCCACCTGGGCCGCGGTTGGCTGGGTGGCGCCCCGCCCCGGGGCTCACCGCTGGAGGAAGCAGGAACCGAGGGCGGGTGCGCCCTGCCCACGCACCGCCCGGAGCGAAACCAGGCTGGGCCGGCACCCAGGGGTCTCCAGGTACCTGTCCTCACCCTCAGCCCCCGCAGGGGCCCCTGCAGGCAGAGAATGGGGGGGGGGGGCTGGGCCAGCAGCTGGGACAGGGGGGCCAGGTCCGCGGAGGCAGAGGGATTTTCTGCAGAGCTGGGAGGAGGGCTTCCTGGAGGAAGGGGCACCAGGAGTGGCCCTGGAGCTGGGAGGCGCTGTCCTGGCAGGGGCTGGGGCTCCAGCAAAGGAGTGCAGGAAGCTGGGCTCCCGCCCTCCAAGACACTGGACACAGTCCCCAAGCCAGCCTGGGCAGCGCAGTGACACCGTCTCTCACAGTGGAAATCGGGAGGACGGGGGCAGCTCAGGGGCAGCACCTGCCTGGCCTGCTCGGCCCTGGGTTCAAGTCCCCGGTCGGGGGGTGCACAGGAAGGGAGGCCGGTGGGTGCGGCTGGGTGCGCTGGGGCCTCAGCAGCCCCCGCTCCCCATGAGCACATGTCCCGGTGCCCTGCCGCGGCCGGGCGATGCGGGGACAGAGGGGACAGACGGAACGGCAGCCGTGGGCCTGATGGTCAGGAAGCCCCGTCGGTGGAGGCGGAGACAGAAAGAGCCCCAGCTGCTGGGGGAGGGCGGCGAGGGAGAGGGGAGGAGGAGCCCAGGGAGGAGGCCCGCAGGAGGCAGGGAGGCCGCCCTGGCCTCCAAGAGGAAAAAAAGGTACCGGGCTGGGCCGGCTGCTTCGTGCAGACCGAGTCGCGTGTTCCTTAACCAGGGGGCTGGGTCCAGAGGAGGTGTGACTTAGCAGCTCGTCACCTGCGCAGGCCGCGGTGACGCCAGCACAGGGACTCGGGGATCTAAACAAAGTGAACAGAAAAGGCCCAGGGAGGGCCCCAGGCCCAGGAGTTACTCAGCTGTGCTGATCCGTGGGACCCACAGGCCTGTCACCCCGGAATCACGTCATCTCGCAGCACACGCCCTTGGCCTCAGCGACGCCTGAGCAGGTGGATTTTATGCCCAGATGTCCCCGAAAATACAGGCACAGGGAGGTCAGGTGTCCTGTCACACAGCGGCCGAAGGGTGAGCTAAACTGGAAACCGGCTCAGATCATCGGCCTCCAACTCCAGACTCCCTGTTCTCTTTTTATTTGTTTATTTATTCTTTTAATTTGTCCCTTTTGATTCTCGTGACAGTGCAGTGTCTCCAACTCGTCATACTTACTCGGAGTCTGACCTCCCACCCGAGGCTGCGCATGCTGCGGAGCCGATCTGGCCCTGGATCCCATGTGAACACAGCAAAGTCACATCCCACTCATTCGACTCTTTCTCCAATTCCCATCCCCCTCCCCTCCCTTCATCCCCTTCCCCTAATCCAGTGAACTTCTATTCTTCTCCCCCACCCCCACTTATTGGGTGTTAGTGTCCACATATCAGAACATCTGGCCTTTGGTTTTGGGGATTGGCTTGTTTCACTTAGCATGATAGTGTCCAGTTCCATCCATTTAGTGACAAATGCCATAATTTCATTCTTCTTTCTGGCTGAGTAATAGTCCACTGTGTATATAGAGCACAGTTAGCTATTGTGAATCGAGCTGCTATAAACATTGATGTGGCTGTGTCCCTGTAGTATACTGTTTTTAAATCCTTTGGGTATAGACTGAGGGGTGGGATAGCTGGATCAAATGGTGGTTCCATTCCAGGTTTTCTGAGAAATCTCCATGTGCTTTCCAGAGTGGCTGCACCAATTTGCAGCCCCACCAGCAGTGTCTGAGTGTGCCTTTCCCCACATCCTCGCCAGCATGTACTGTTGCTTGTACTCTTGATCGTTGCTGTTGGGACTGGAGTGAGGTGGAATCTCAGTGAGTCTGTTTTGCATTTCTCTGATTCCCAGAGACGGTGAACATTTCTTCACATACTGTGGACCGTTTGTCTTTCTTGTCCCGTGAAGCGTCTGCTCGGTCCTTGGCCCATTCCGGCTGTTCCTGTGTGTGGAGTTGTGGAGTCCAGCTCTACCTGAGGGGCAGTGAGGACCCTCCCTCTCTGTGGGCTGCCTTCACATTCTTGATTGTTTCCTTGGCTGCCAAGAAGCTTTAGTTGGACTCCACCCCGTGGCTCACCCTTGGCTTTGCTTCTTGTTCTGTAGGATCTTGTTGGGGAATTCCAGGCTCCTTACTGCTTGTCCCCTGGCCCTGTCCTTGGGAGCCCCCAGAGACAGAGCCAGACCAGAACCTTCCAACTGCCCGAGGTGGCAGGGCGGCAGACGGTGGAGAGGGCGCGGCTTCCCGCTGACTGCCTGACGCAGTTATTTACCCTCCGCCTGCTCCGGAGTTCCCTGGGCCACACCCCAGGGCTGTGCCTGTCACCTGAGAAAGTCAATAGTGGCTGCTGGGGTCCAGGGCCCTCCCTTGGGAACAGCCCAGCTGCAAGCCTTCCTGACCCTGAGAACCAGATGGGCGGAGCTCCAGGTTGGGGACAGAAACCCGGGGGCACCGGGGCTGTCTCACACCAGCTGGCAAATCAGTGCTCTGTCCCCGTCAGCTCCCGTCAGGGACTCTCCAACCCAGAGTAGTTGAACTTGAAGTTGTGGGAATGTGTGGATGGATGTTGCCGCTGGCACGCGGCAGGGGCGCTGATGCTGATGTGGCCGCCACCTTCAGCCACACTGGTGGCAGGAGCCACTGCAGGCCACGTGGCCCCTTAGTGTTCAGTGAAACCATGGCAACGAGCTATTGGCCGCCATCTCCTTCATCACTCATCATTCCGTCACCTCCTCAGCCCTCTGGGGACGTTGACACGGACTTGATGTTTACATGCCACGCGCGCGCGGTGGTGCACAGCTGTGATCCCAGTGACTCAGGAGGCTGAGGCAGGAGGATCGCACGTTTGAGGCCAGCCTCAGCAACTTAGCCAGGCTCTGTCTCAAAATAAAAAATAAAGAGGGCTGGGGGAGGGCTCAGGGGAAGGGACCCAGGTTCCATCCCCAGCCCCGCAAAAGCAAAAAACGAAACCAAGAAAACCCACCTGCTCTGTGCGCGCATGTGTTTGGTTTGTTCCGTTTTCCGGTGCTGCGGAGGGAGCCGCACCCGCTGGGCGACCACGCTGCCCCTGAGCGGCGCCCCTGCACCGGAGGCAGTTATTCACAAGGGGGACTCCCAGGTCCCCCAGCAGTGACCTGATAAGACTGAAGTCAAAGGAAAGGTCCTTGGAGACTTGGCAGCAGTCAATGAATGAATGGCACCCGGTGGGTCTTGGCCAGCCCAGGGCTGGAGCCGGCTGACCCCGGCCAGCAGAGGCCAGCGGAGGCTTCCCCAGCTCGGAGCAGAGATGGGGAGGGACCAGCCTGACCCTCCCCCTCTCACCCCCAGGTGGCCGCCTGACCCCGGGAGCCATGGCCGAGGCCGAGAGGCTGCCCCCGCCGCTGCCCCCGCGACTGGACTGGTTTGTGCACACACAGATGAGCCAGCTGGCCCAAGGCAGTGTCCCCGAGTGGTTCCACGGTGCCATCTCACGAGAGTGAGGACACACCCTGCCCTCCCCCTGCCTCTTTCTACCCTCCCTCCCCCAGCAGTTGTCCCTGCAGAATCCTGGCTGCGTCCCTCCGCTCAGCTCAGCGTGACACAGGGTGAAGGGGCTCTGGGGCCTCAGGCTGGAGTCCTGCTTCCTCCGTGGGCCTGTTGTGTGACCTTGGCAGGTCACTTTCCCTCTCTGGGTCTCACCTTTTCTCTGCCACCAGGCCAGCTCTCCCAGGCACCTGGCAGCACCTGCCACCTTACCCAGGTGGGTGGCACCAACCAGTGATAGCAGGATGCAGCCTCAGAATCCTTCTTAACATGGTCCCCGACCAGTGGCCCTCAGCCTTCAGGATCCAACCAATGTGCAGCTGTCCCTCTGTGTCCACGGGGGTTGGTTCCAGGGCCTCCCTGGGACACCCAGATCCCTAGATGCCCAAGTCCCTCTATCAAATGGCACAGCAGTTGCCTAAAACCTGCGCACATTCAGAAAGCCAAGAGGAGGGGAGAAGGGAGAAAGTAGTAGCCATAGTGAACATGTGGGGAGCACTTGGGAGGGAGCAGGTCCTTCACACCAGCCTGGGAATGAGGCTTACTTTCCCCTTAGCTGAGGGTCAGAAAGGGAGAGACACCTGCCTGAGGTCACACAGCCAGTGAGCGGCAGAGCTGAGTTTTGCCTTGAAGTGCACCTGCCACAGCTCCTGCTCCATTACCCGGGGCTCTCAGTTCACCCAAAGGTGCTTTGATGGGAGGAGATCAGCCCTGGGGTCATGGTCACCAGAGGTTGACGGCCTCTTCGCCTCTGTCCCTGACTATCCCAAGATTTAAAACAACTGGGAGAAAAGTTGGGTTTAGTTTGAAAACCAGAAGAGCTGGCCACCACGTCTGTGTGGCCCCAGTGTGCTGGGCAGTTGTGCCATGGCCATGTCCCTCCTGTGTGTACATTTCCAGGGCTGCTGAGGACCTGCTGGCGTCAGAACCACTGGGGTCCTTTCTCATCAGGGTCAGTCACAGCCACGTGGGCTACACTCTTTCCTACAAGTAAGGCTTGGGCTGAGGGCAGGGTGGGGCGGGGGTAGGCGGGCCCTGGGCTTTTTTGAGAGGGCAAGGGGCGCTGTACACCGCAGCTTCCTAGGGAGCAGACAATATGCAGATCCAGCCAATTTGGCTGGAGTTCATGGCTGCAGGTCTAGCTGTATCCAGCAGACATAGCTGAATCCAAGGCATGGTGGTGACTTGAGGCCAGGAGCTTCTGGGGATTCTGAGAGTGGCTACCATCATCCCTCCACCTTCACCATCTAATTAGTGATTCTCTGACTCCTCCTTAAGGAAACCTAGGGCAGACCAACTCTGTAAGACTTCAGTCCTGATTGGCATCTCAGAGGATTCAGAAGCGTGAAACCACTTTTCAACAGGCAAATCCAAAGGATTCTAGGTCAAAGGTTAAAAATCGAAGTGTCCCATGAAAGAGTTACAATGGGAAAAACTCAGGCCTGAGTTAGGTACTTGGGCAGGGCTCTGCCATTACAAGCTGTAGGACTTTTGGACATGTTACTCAGCCTCTCTGAGCCTCCTGCAAAATCATCGTCTGTAATTAAGGAATACTAATTCATTTGATTAACTGAGCATTTATTGACCACCTATTGTGTGCGAGGCACACAGCCTTGGACTGGATGGAGCCTGAAATTTCCATTGTTCCGAGATCTAGCCATTCTCTATCCCCAGCCGGGCACTGCGTTCAGCTTTGGTCTGAAACGCTTGTTTCACTCTCGCGAGAATTCCTGAGGCCAGCCTTGGTCACCTCCTGTCATAAACGGGGACACTGAGGCACGGCCGGTTAGGAAGGGCTTGGAGTGGAAGGTGGGCGGTGGCTGGGGGGCTGCCGGCTCAGGGGGGTGAGTGGAAGGACGGGCCGTCACCCCGCAGTGTCTCTGCAGGGCCCCGAACTGCTGCCGCCACTTCATGGTGAAGCTCTTGGACGACGGGAGCTTCGTGATCCCTGGGGAGAAGGCGGCGCACGCCTCGCTGGACGCCCTGGTCACCTTCCACCAGCAGAAGCCGATTTGGCCCCACGAGGAGCTGCTGACCCAGCCCTGCGGGCAGGTGAGGGTGGGATCCCGAGGGCCATGGCGCCCTCCGGCGTCAGGACCTCGGGGTCAGTCCCCTCTCCGGCTTCTGCTGCTGCCACTCCCGCAGTGGGCAGCCCCTGTCGCCGCTGCCCTCGCTGTCCCTATCCTCGCGCGCATGGTTTCACGCTGAGGTCACCGGAGCGCCTGTGTGGGGGGGGTGCACGTGGCTGATCTGTCGGGATGACATTGCCTTCAAGCCCCGAGCGTGGGGAGGGCCGGATGCAGCTCCTTATAAGGCTCGTGGGCGTGGCCCAGGGCCTGAGACTGGGGAGGGCAGGATGCATCTCCCAATAAGGCTCGGTGGGCGTGGCCCAGGGCCTGAGTAGCAGCTGTGGGTGGGGCATGTTTCCTTAGTAGGACCTGGGCGTGGCCTACATCCTAAAACTACTAGAGAAGGACAGTCTGGGACCCGCTTTCCAGGGTGTGTCCAGGACCTCAGTCTTTCCGCTTCCAAGAAACTAAACATAGGTCCCTTGGCCCTGCAGAAGGATCCGGCAAACGTGGATTATGAGGATCTCTTCCTTTACTCCAGTGCACTGGCAGAGGAGGCCACCAGGCCTGTCCCTGGCCTCGGGGAACATCAAAGACCTTCCTCCTGCTCAGTGGCTGCACCTGAGAAGGTATGTGATGGGAAAAGGACACGTTTGATCTGTGGGAGAGGCAGGAGTAGAGAATGACCAATGGCTGCCAGAGAGTCTCTAAAAAGAGGATTTGATCCTATAACTAGGTGCCTAAAAGCTGTCCAAGGGAAGGCTCTGAGATTACAATCCAAACGCAACCTCAGCTCTGCTCCAGCCCCTTGGCCATTCCTTTTGTTGTTTGGATGCACCAGCTCCCCTCAGGATCTTTGCACATGCTCGTTCTTCCTCTGGGCATTTCCATATGACCGTCCCACTCTGGGCCTTTCCCGTACTGGCCCCCACCTCAGGGCCTTGGCACCTGCTCTGTTCTCCTCCCCCAGATTTCCATATCTGGCTTCTTTTTTTTTTTTAGTTTTATTTATTTTTTATTAATTAATTTATTTGTTTTTTTTTTAATTTTTTATTGTTGGTTGTTCAAAACATTACAAATTTCTTGACATATCATATTCCACACTTTGATTCAAGCATATCTGGCTTCTTTTAATTCTCCTTCAAGTGTCTCCATCCCGTCTTTGGACCTCCAGCGGACCCGCCCATTACTCTCTTCATTCCTTGCAAAGAACTCCTTGTGGCTTAAAAAGCACTTGTTTATTTCTGGGTTTATGTTTCCTGTGGGCTTCTCCGGGAGGCTGGGGAGTCCTCCTAGCATGTTCTCCGCTGCTTTTCTCACCCCACCCCCCAAAGAAGTCCTGGCATATTGAAGGAGCTCAACTGATGAATCTGAAGAGGAGATAAATGAATGAATATATGAACGAGTGTGTCCCAGCTTCTTGGGGCAGCGTGGACCTTCAGGTGCCCCTAGGTGGAGGCCTAACCTCCCTCCAGGCCTGTTCTGACAGCCAGTGTGCTGGACTTCAGCAGGGGTGCAGGCCGAGGGAGTCAGGGAAGGCTTCCTGGAAGAGGCTGCATAGAGCTGGGTTGGGGAGGTCAAGGAGGAGCCAGCCTCACACAGCGATCAGGACTGGCACCCAGGCAGAGGGGACAGCACATGCAAAGGTCCTGGAGCTCAGTGTGTCAAAAACAATAAAAAGTGCAGTTTGTGGATGGGCGTACAGGTAGTGAGAGGGGAGCTGTCAGAAGGGGAGCACCGGGTGATGAGCAGGGATTCTGTTCCAGATGTGTGCGGAAGCCCAGGCAGAGCGCCAGCATGATGACATTGGTGGGTCCGGGCTCCCTGCCACTGCTGGCTGCGGAGGGAGCTGTGGGGAAGCAGGGTGGAGGCTCTGTGAGGCCCCAGCCCGGGCGCCCTGGGGCAGGAACAGTGTGAATAGTGGTGACGTTTTAGAAGGAAGCTTGCTGCTGGCCTGGAGCAGAGGGGGAGGGGAGAGGGACACAGTTGTGGGACGGGTCCCTTGGTCCTTTTTATTAGGAGCAGGCAGGGCAGAGGCATGGGAATGGCGGCCACCTGGCGGAACAGGTTACTCTAGTGGCTGGTGGGGCCCAGAGTGCCCGGGATGGGCCTCAGCTGTCCCACCGGGAAGGGAGCTGGGCTTTGGTCCTCCGCCTGCCGTTAGGAGACCCTCGGGCTCCGTTTCCCTTGGAGACTCCCAGGTGAGAAGCCCCCGGCGGTTCCACGTGGGAGCAGGGCTGGGGCTGGAAGCACTTGGGGCCGTGGGCAGCGCTGGCACAGATGGCATCCGGATCTGCTGGGTGGACCAGGGCTTTGCAAATGTCCCTGGGCCACATCCGATCCCCTGCCTGTTTCTGTCCGCCCGGGAGTTAAGCGTGGCTTTTAAAAAAGGTTTTAAATTGTTTAAGAAACGACCAGTAAAAGTCGCATTTCATAAGTAGGTGGCCCCTGGATCCCCTGTCCCTAAACAAGGATTTGTGGAGCCGTAGCTTGGCGGACCTCAGTGTGGCCCTGTGACATGTAGGCTGACACTGGGCGCAGGTGGGATGGTCCCCTGAGATCACCACGGAGATGAAAGCTCCCTGTGGCTCCGCGACCCGCTGCCGGGTGGGCGGCTCCTGTGCCGGTACCGTGGGCCACACCCGCTGCGCTGCCTGTCACCAAAAGCAAAGCTCCTCTGGGGCACAGTGGGTGGTGGCGCCTGCCCCGCTGGAGGCCCTGGGAGCGAGCGCCACCAGCAGAGGAAGAAGTGGCATCGTCGGGCACTGTAGACACCCGGTGGCCACGATGGCCCCATGGCCCTGCGCTCACGGTCACTGCTCTACACCCGCGCGTGGGGCTGGGGGACGGCGGCTCAGCTGGCCCAGCTCCTGGGGACACGGGGAGCCACGTCCTGAGACAGGGAGGGAGGGAGGGCAGGGGCCGGGGCTTCACACGGCTGTTTCCGAGCCTCCTGGGGCGGGGGCAGGCCCCGGTTCAGAGCTCTGGTGGGTGACCTGGCCCGGGTGTCGCCGTCTCTCCTTTGCAGGTCCCCTTGAGGCCAGCCCTGCCCCACCCCGGGACGGCGAGGAAGCCCTCTGCAGAGCCGGGCAGGGCGCCCCCCGGGGAAGCCGCTCCCTCCTGCCCCCCGAGGACGCCCTTCAGGGAGGCCGGGCAGAGGCTCTGGAGCAGCCTCAAGGCGCTGCCCGCGTCGGGCCGCATCGCGCAGCCGCAGTTCCGCTCCGCCCTGGCGGCCCTGAGGTCGTCGCTCCAGGAGGCCAGGCCGGCTCGGGGGACCCCCGGCCCCAGGCCCCGGGCGGACAGCAGGAAGCACCCAGGCGAGGCGGCCTGGAAGGACAGTGTCTCCGGGGACCCGTGTGTGGCCACAGCCTCTGACCCCTCGCAGCCCCAGGCCCCAAGACCCAGGGACGCCTCCGCCAGGAAGGCCGCCAGGCCCGTGAGCTGGAGCGGGGCCACCCCGGCGGCTAGGGGCTGGCACCCATTGTTGGCGAGGGCCCTGTCTTCCCGGGAGGCCACGCCGGGGCCCGACGACGTGGCCGAGCCCGCGGAGGACCTGCTGCCCGAGGAGTACCTGCCGCCGCCGCCCTTCGCCCCCGGGTACTGCTAGGGGCGCTCTCCAGCTCCAGGACCATGGCCAGGGGCCGCGGCTCCGGGACCTCCCTTTGACACCGTCCCGCGCTGGAGCTTGGGGGAACCAGTCCTGCAGCTGCCAGCAGGACAGCCTGCTGAGTAATAGTATTCGCAGGTGCAGCCGCGCCAGGGTGCAGGCCTGGAATCCCAGCAGCCCGGAGGCTGAGGCAGGAGGATCGTGAATTCAAAACCAGCCTCAACAACCCAGCAAGGCCCTGGCTCAAAAATATAAAAAGGTCTGGGGGTGCAGCTCAGAGGTAGCGTCCCCGGGTTCAGTCCCAGTAGGACCAGCAGCAACAGTGATAATAATAGTCAGTCATGGGGTGGCTTGAGATGCCTACTGTGTGCTAGGCCCAGTGCCAGACCCTCATCTGAGGTCCATACCTCCAGTTCGACCAACCACAGATAAAAAATATTAAAGAAAAAATTTTACCTATCCCGACATGTATGGACTTCTTTTCTTGCCATTATTCCCTAAAAAATATAGTTTTAATAGCTATGTCCGCAGCATCTGCACCGTATTATATATTAGAAATCATCTAGAGATGTTGAAAGCCCTGTGTGTCCATGCACAGGTTATATGCAAACACGGTGTCATTTGCTATAAGTGACTTGAGCATCTGTGGGTTTGGGTATGCAGGGGAGGTCCTGGAACCAATCTCTGAGGATACCAGGAGACCACTGGACATGTTCCTCAGCAAGCCTATGCCGTAGGGCCACTCTCCACATTCTGAAGAAGACACTGAGGTTCAGAGAGAAGAGGTAGCAGGGTATGAGCATCAGGATTGAAAGCTGAGCCATTTTGCACCGTCTGAAACCACAGGGCAGGAACCTCCGCCACCACAGAGCTGGGATTTGCAGACTCAGTTCCAAGTATGTTCTCACGCAAGTGGTGGTGGCAAGCAGGGCTACTCACACCCTCCTCCCTCCTGAGCTTGGTGCACAGTAGGACTCCATGTGCAGCAGCATCACGACATGCAATATGAGCCCCTTTCTTTTCAATAAGGAATGAGCTGGTGAGCACAGTGGCTCACGTCCATAATCCTAGTTACTTGGAAGACTGAGGCAGGAGGATCACAAGTTCAAGGCCAGCCTCAGCAACTCAGCAAGGCCCTCAGCAACTTAGTGAGTCCCTGTCTCAAAATAGAATTTTAAAAGCACTGCGGATGTAGCCCCATGGTCAAGGTCAGGGTAAGCTGTCTAGAAAGGAGGCACAGTGGAGGTATCTGGGATGGTCCTGGACCTGGCGTTAGCTGCAAGCCCCTTGGATAGACTGGGGCCACGGAAGAAGGTCCAGGGGCAACCCCAGTGGGGTGGCGTGATGCTCCCTGAGTTCTCAAGATAAGGAGGTGTGGAGTGAGGTGCTTCTGGGCACGAGCCAGACACTGCAAATGACTCACAGTGTGCCTTGGTCTTCCTCCACATGCAAACTGTGAAGTACCTTGCCCACCTCAGTGAATGCCACTCCTAATCCCTCCCCCTCAGAGGCATCCCCAAGGCAGTGCTGATGAGTCATCAGAGTCTCAGTCCCTTCGATGGACTTGGGGTACAAGGACAGATGACTGAGCAGCCTGTGGTGAGATTCTGCTCAAGGACCACGGGTGGGACGGGGTGCGCCTCCTCTCCCTGCCTCGGTTTTGCCTGTGGAGACCCACAACACGCCCTCCCGCCCTTCACGGTGGAGAGATCTAGAAGCCAGCTCATTCCTTGAACAAACAGGAGATGTGTGGCCCAGAGAGGGCGAGCCACACCCAAGATCACCCAGCAAAGGGTAGAGACAAGATTCCAAGCCTGTCCCTGCCCCCTGCCAGGTTGAGGATGGAAAGTGTGTCCCCCAGCAAGGGTGACTCAGTGCCTCATGTTTATTTCCAGTGACCGGGGAGGCCAGAGTCCACAGTGGGGTGGGGGCTCCCCTGCCCTCCTTGGCCGATCCTCTGGGCGGTGCTCTCAGATGCGGATATGGAAGGTGCTGTGTGCAGAGAGAAAAGGAGTCAGGGACAAGGCCGCCCCATCCCCGAGTGCCTGAGGCAGGCAGGGAACACCGGGAGAAGGACCCTCTCAAGCAATTTTTTTCTTGTCCTGGGGATCGAGCCACCCAGGGGCACCTTACCCCTGAGCTGCACCCTGGGTCCTTTTTTACGTAGTTGTAGGTGGACACAGTGCCTTTATTTTATTTGTTTTCTGTGGTGCTGAGGATTAAACCCAGTGCCTCACACGTGCTAGGCAAGTGCTCTGCCACTGAGCCACAACCCCAGCCCTTGATCCTTTTTATCTATTTATTTTTTTATCTGGTCTTTTTTATTTTTATTTTGAGACAGGGTCGCGCTAAGTTGCTGAGGCTGGCCTCCAACTTGTGATCCTTCTGCCTCGGCCTCCAGAATTGCCGGGTTCATCGGCTGCACCACCATGCTCTGCTGTTGGACCAGGGTTTACATCCCAGCTCCACCCCAGACTTGCCAGGGACTCAGTGTAGCCCTCTGTAAAATGGGGTTAAAGGCTGTTCTTCAGTGGGACTAGAGTGAGGGTGACCCGGCTGAGGGTGCGGGAGCCCAGAGCCCAGCCAGTGAGTTCTCCCAGTTTTCATTTTTTGATCTCTGTTTGTCAGGAGACCCATCCTGCTGGGTCAGGTAGAGGAGGCCTTTTTGAGCACTGAAGGACATCATGGATGATAATGGCAAGAACAGCAGGACAGCAGGTCTTACTGATCACCTACTGTGTGCCAGACACCACCCTAAATTTTCCCTAGATGTTAACACAGGGCCCACAGCCTTATTCTGCAAAGAACAAATAATTGATATTTGTGCAGCAAATCAACTGCACAAAAGCACTCATGGGCATATGTCCATGCACGGGCATGGCTGTGTGCCAAGAAAACCTTCTTTGTGGCCACAGAATTCTGAATTTCCTACCATTTTCCCTGTCACGGAATGTCATCACTGGAAAATGTTAAAAAAAAGAAAAACACACACACAAAAAAAACACAACCTTAGCTCACAGAAAGTACACAAACAGGGTGGACGTTGGTCAGCCCTGTAGGGACTCACTCAGCCTTCGTGTCAGCCCCGTGGCTGGGGCTCTGAGTCTCCTTGCAGGCTGCCAAGTCCAGTTGCACAGTGTGTTCACTGCAAAACTATTCAGATAATGCAGACCCAAGTCCAGCTGTGTGGCACTTGACCAAAGAGCCACATCCACCCACCAGAGGTGCCCGTGGGGTTCCTAATGGTCCCCATTGTACAGATGCAAGGACTGAGACCAGGGAAATTGAGAAAGTTTCCCAAGGTCACAAATGAATCCACAGAGGAATCTGGAAAAACGGAGTATGTGAACGGTCTCCGTAAGGGCCCCTTGTGCGCATGGAAGTGGGCAGAGTGGGGTGCCAGGGACATCACCTGAGGAAATCAGGAGCCCGCAGAATCATGTTCTGGAAGTCTTCCAGGGACAGCCGCCCGTCGTGGTCCCCGTCAGCTTCATCCAGCACCTTCTCGCACACCATGTTCACCTCCTCCGCGCTCAGCTCCCCCCGCGTCAGCTTGGTCACCGTCTGCTCCAGGTCCCACGCACAGATGTAGTCATCGTTGTTAAAGTCTGTGGTGCAGACGGTGGGGAGTGTGGGATGGGACCCAGGGGACAGGAAGCTGGGCTACCTGTCAGCACATCTGTCCCCGGTGTTACAGGAAGGAAACCCAGGCACCGGGAAACCACCCGGACCCTCAGGCTGGGATCTGGGTCGTGCTTTGGAGTTGGGCTGGGGCTGCTGGGAGTTCATTCATTCATTCAACAAATACCGTGTGCACTGTGTGCCAGACTCCATGATAACATTCTCCTTTATTTACTCACTGAACAAGAATTGAGTGCCTACTATGTGCCAGGCACATCTGAATCAATGAAAAATAGTTAGTTTTCACTGATTCATCCCAAAAGTACATATTGAGGGCCCACTGTGTGTCAGGCACCGTGATAACTTTTATTTTATTCACTCAACCAGTATTTAGTGAACACCTACTACGTGTTGGGCACTAGGATAACTGTTTTTCATTCATTCACTCAGGAGCATTTACTGAGTGCCAACTAGGTGTCGGGCTCTGAGATACCTGCTTTACTTTCATTCAGTGATTCATCTCAACAAATATGTACTGAACAGCTAGTGTGTGCCAGGCACAGGAGACAGATGGTGCCCTAAACAGACATTGTCACCACCCCTGGGTATCCCTGGAGAGCAAACAAGAAGCAAACAGACGAATGAATGAGAGCCAGCGTTGCCTGGTGTAGGGTGACACAAAAAGATTGTGGAACTGGGAGCCAGGGGCAGGACCTGCTTTTCACCCACCTAGACCCGGAGGGTAAGAAAGGGCCAGGGGAGGGTGTTGCAGGCGGAGGTCACGGCTGGGGCAAGGGCCTGGGACAGCTCAGAGTGCGCAAGGGGAAGGGCTGGGGGTTCTGGGCGGGTGCCGGGCAGGGCCGGGAGGAGGCCTTGAAGACCTGGGGGCACCGCGGTGACGGGGTCCCATCGGGTTGTCTGTCCCCACCCGAGGTCGCGCACGCACCGTAGATTTTAAAAGCGTAGTAGGCCTTGAGGTCGCGCGGAGCCATCTCGCTCATCACGGAGAACATGTCCAGGAAGTCGTCCAAGGTCATGTGGCCATCCCCGGCCTCGGAGAAGACCTGGGCGATCCTCTGGCGGAAGGGGTTGTCCTGGCACAGGAAGGACATGGAGGCCACCTCCTGAGCGGGACCTCGGAGGGTCCACGTGGTGCAACCCTCTGCACCTGCCTCCTGTGCCCTCTGCTCCCTTCCTGTGTCCCTGGACAGCACCTCAGGCAAGTCCACTCCGCCCCTGTGCTGTGGACTCCCTTCCCGCGCCAGGGGAAGCCACGTGGCCCGGGGAAGGCCAATCAGAGATTTCTGTTCCTCCTCCAGCCTTGATTGGCTCCGGCATGAGCATGTGACTCAACCTAGCCAATCAGAGGCCAGAGATTTCTATTCCTCCTACAACCGTGATTGGCTCTGGCATGGGCATGTGACTCAACCTAGCCAATCAGAGGCTGCCCTGGAATATTTTTTTTGAAAAATTGGGCGAGGGACTTGCTTTCTGCAGCTGGCAAGGGTTCCTTCCGCTATCTTGAGGAGAGGCCGCCTGGGACTGAGCCTCTTCCTGAGAGGAGGAGGGGTGGAGGGGGATTTCCGAGCTTGTCATCAGAGGTCCTGCTTCTAGCCAGACCTGATACTAACCTTTTTCTGCCGATCCACTTCATTCCGTTCCCCTCAGGCGGTGACTGTCACTGCTTGCAGTGAAACAGTCTCCTGTCTGCCGTTTCTGTACCCAGAGTCCCCAGATTGAAAATGTTCAGAAAATGTGTCTGAACCAAACCTATGCCAATTTTCTTTCTCCTGCCATTTCCTCCTAAGTGGCACAGTGTACAACTGAGTGCCTGGGTGTCCCGTCATCTAGAGAGGATTCCGAGGTGCAGAGGGCACCCCAGTGGGTTCTATGCAAAAACTGCTCCATTTTGAAGGATTTGAGCATCTGAAGATTGAGATTCCCCAGGGCGTGGCCTGGAACTAGATTCCCCAGTGGATACCAAGGGGGCGGCTGCAGCCCTTACCCACAGCCAGCCATGCTCTCTCAGGTTCCCTTCAAAAGCAGAACCCATGTGTCAAACACCAGCCAAGAAGACCTAGCAGCTCCGGTGACGGAACCTCCACTCCCCCAGCTCTCACTGGCCCTTCCCCTGTGTCAGCTCGTCGCCTGCTCTACAGCTCTCCAATGCTTTTACGTTGCAGCTGTGTGACATGAACAAGTTCTCTGACCTCTCTAAGCCTCAGTTTTTCTATCTGTAAAATGGAGGTGCTTGTAGCCTCACTGGTAGGTGTGCAACAGGAGATGCTGCTACTGGATTTCCCCTTCCTGCGCGACCCAGGCATACCTTCAGCTCTGGCATGCTGCCAATGAGCTCGTAGGGCACCTTCACATCTGGGCAGCTGGTATAGTCCAGGGGCACGAGCTGGGGGGCCAGGTCCTGGTAGCGATAGAAGAGCCTGGGGTGGGGAGGAAAAATCAGGAAAGACTGGAGCCAGGAGGGAGGGGTGACCTGTCCCTCCTGTCTCACACCTGCAGCAGTTCACCCCACCCAGAAGGGAGGTGGAGTCCCTACGATCCCTCAGTCCTGAGGATCCCTCAGTCATGAGTCTGACCCTTACGCAGAGCTGGCCTCAGGCACCTCGACCCCCAACCTCTGGACAAGGCCAAGATGATGAGAAAGCCCAAGGCTGGAAGACTAGAAAGAGGAAAGCAAGCTACAGAAAAGGAAGGACTTACTGGAAGAGGGGCCTTTGGTGTAGGGCTTAGATGTATGCATAGGAGTTTGCCAGGAAGACAGATTTAGGAAAAGGGAGGTGCTGATGGCTGATCATTTCACAACAAGCCTCCGGAGACTCCTTGGTTAAGCTCTGCATTTCTGGACATGGTTGCATTGTTGGCAAGACCCTGCCTCTACTGACCCCTTCCCCGGGTTCTCACAGTTTCCCTCTCTCCATGATGGGGCAGGGCTGAGGCGACAGAGAGTACTCCGATCTTTTGAAAGGATAAATAAAAGGCATTTTGCAAAGCCCTGAATGCCACCACCACTGCCCAGGCCATAAAGCCAGCTCTCTGCTCCGCCAGCCACCCTCACCTGGTGACACTATACCTTCCTTGGTGCGTGTGAGTGGCAGCCTTGCAGAGACCACCTTTGATGACCCTGAGGTCCCCAAGCTGTTAGGGACTCTCTCTGAGGAGGCCAGGAACCCCTGGGCTGCATGACGGCCAGCAACTTGACACAGGCACCCGGAACTTCAGTCCCCAAGGCCAGCTCCCGGCAGGTGCCCTTAGGCAACATCCTGAGTTTGGGTCTCTGGGTCCCCCTCCCACTCTGAGCCTCCGTTGTTCCGTGGGACACTTTAGAAGGTTGGGACAGAGCCCTGCCGCCTTCAAACTCCTTGGGGCCCTGCACATCTGCCCTGGGCCTGAGATCAGCCCAGCCCTGTCTGAACCTCAGTTTCCCCAGCAGTAACCTGATCGTGATGGCCAAGGTGACCCCGCAAGCAGTCCTCACTCAGACAATGGGGCTCACTGGTGAGGAGTGTGCCCATTAATAATGGATGCCCCGTGCCCACACAGCTGGGGCATTGGCCATGATCGCTCTGCAGCTGAACCGCAGCCAGCTTGGGTTTCACAGCTCCAAGTTCATGGGCCGGGGCCCCCGGACAATGGCCCCACAGACTGAGTGATGACGTGGGCCACTCATCTGTAAGCCCCGGGTCACCTCCACACACCCTCACTTTGCCACCACCAACTCCAAGGTGGCTCTGGATTCTGCCCCTGGTCTTCCAGCCTCCAGTCCCAGCCTCCACACACTGGCCTCCCGGGGAGATGACTCCACATAGGACCCTCCCCTCCCTGCTCACACCCTCCAGGGCTCCCTGCCACCTTTGGGACAAAACCCAAACTCATTAGCAGAGAGACTGTGACAAATGACAGGATGTGACTCCTCAGCTTCCCGCCTGGTCCTCCATCCTCCGACCATGACCAAACCTCCCCCCACATCGGCGACACTGGTGGACCGAGGGCATCCGACGGCAGTGGATGGCAGTCTCCCTGCACTTCCTGCAGCACTGACCTCATGATCTCCTTCCTGGTGAAGAAGGTGCAGTCCTGCGGAGAGAGGGGTCGGCTCGACCAGACCCTGCCCCTGGGGCCTCCTTCCCCCGCCCCCTAGGGCCACCCCAAAGCCACACCGATGGCCGATGCCATCCAGAGCTTTGCCAGGAGCGTTGCTGACTGCAGCCCAGATGAAGGGGAGCTGCGCCATCCCCAGGCCAGGAACCCAAACCATGGCCCCCGGGCCCACTGGTCTCCCACCTGGTAGGCTTCCAGCTGCTCGTGGGTGAAGATGGTCTGTTTGTTGCCCATATGGCGAGACGGAAGGACAGACTCCAGGACAGACTCCCCAGGGCCACGCGGGTCACCAGACTGCTGCACGCCTGTGTCCGGGCAAATCTTCCTGCCCTGGCTGTCACCTGCCCACCCGCCCCATCACCCCCAGCCTGTGAGACTCAAGTTACAGCCAAGCTCTCTGGGCAACCACCCACGCATCCTCGGGCAAGAGGTCACAGAGCAGCCCTCCATGTCCGCCACCACTGGGGGTGGCCAGGGGTCTAGGGCACCATCCGGAACCAGGCAAGGGGGTAGGAAGGCTGTGGGCACACCCAGCTCAAATCCCAGCTTCTGCTCACTTGCTGTGTAGCCTTGGGTAAGTCGCCTGACTTCTCTGAGCAGAAATAGAAATAGAAATTATGTTAGTACCTCCATCATTGGGTCATAGTGTGGATTTAAATAGATGATTGATGGCTGGGTATAAGCCAGTTCTTCCAGGCACTGGGAATATAATGGTGAACAAGCTAGATGAGGTTCTGAGGTGTGCACCAGGATGATGATGATGATGATGATGATGATGATGATGATGATGTGTTGTGTTATGACTTGAAGAAAGTGATCCAAGGTCAAAGCTTGAGAAGCAGTGGGTTAAATCACACCAGACTGAGTTCTCTGTTGTTGGACTTGTCTAATGGGCACCGTGCACCTGCAGGGAGAAGATGCAGTGTAACAGCTGCTGACCTGAGTGGGACCCCGGAGGAGCTGGGGTGGAGCTCAGTGGCAGAGCCCTGGCCTGGCAGGTGCACAACCCTGGTTTCCATCCCAGCACTGCAAAATAAATACATGAGCAGGGTCCTCCTGGGCAGAGAATCTGAGGGTCTCAGGTCCCTGGTGGGCCCTCCATCCCCTTCTCCCTCTGGGCCCCACCTGTCTTTCCACTTGCCCCTCCTGCTCAGTGTTTGGCTGTGCCACTCTCCAAGTCCCCGGGAACACTCTTGGGTCTTCCCTCTCCCTGTCCTCCCTGGACCATTGCAAGTCCTCCCAGCAGGCTTCCCCGCCCCAACCTCACCAGCTCTTTCCTACCCAACTCTGCACAGTCATGTGTAAACTATGGCTCTGATCAAGCTTTAAAGACCTTCCAAGGGCACCTTCAAAATAAAAACAAAAAACCGACAATACCAAATGTTGATGAGGATGTGGAGCAACTGGAACTCTCATACACTGTGGCTGCTGAGGCTTTAGAAAATGGGCTGGCAGGTTGTTTCTTTTTTCCTTTCTTCTTCTTCTTTTTTAATAGAGTTCAGCATATTTACACATGACTATGCAATAACATTCCTGGGTAGTTACCTAGGGAATGTGAAAACCTATGATCAACCAAGAGTGAACCTTAATGAAAACTATGGACTTTGGGAGATGATGACATATCAATGTAGGTTCATCAATTATAACAGACGTACAATACTTTCTTGCAAAGGGGATGTTGATAATGGGAGTCCATGTAGGTGTAGGAAAAGGGAACATATGGGACATCTCTGTACATTCTACTCAATCTTGCTATGAATTAAAATTGCTCTTTTAAAAAATCTAATAAAATATTTTGGAAATTTTGTCCACACAAAAACATGTAATACCCACAGAATGGGAGAAAATATTTTCAAATCATAAATCTGATGAGGGACTAGTATTCCTAATACATAAAGAACTCCTACAACTCAACAATAAAAAGACATGCATAACCCAAGTAAAAAAAATATGTATGCTCAGCAAAAGGATCCAGACCTAAATGGTCACATATTGTATGATTTCATTTATATGAAATGTCCAGAATCTGTCTTCTGTTCTCATGGGGTTAGGGGAGTGAAGGAATTTTAAGGGGGGGCAGGTGATAGAACTGTTCTCTATCTTTATTGTAGTGTTGGATATGTTAAAAGTTTAGGCAAATTAACTTCATCACAATTACCTGAGCAAAGAATGGTGGGCGAATCAGCCCTCAGAACCAAAAGAGGTTCAGAGAGCTCCACCCAGCCACTTGGGCAGAAACAGCTTGATAGGGTAGGGCTGGGCATTTGCCTTATTTGGGCATTGCTTATTGGTTGGAAATTTGTGATTGGTGGAAGCTTGGCTGCTATGATTGGTTGAGACTCAGCTCTTTGTTACAAGCACATACTCTTTTTTTAGGTTGTGGTTTGTTTACATACTAAGTTAGGTTGCAGTTGGCTAGGTAGGGACTCAAGATACAGAAGCTGCATTAGGCCAAATTTAATTGGACAAGAATATACTGCCTGTATTCTTTTGACAAAACTTATAGAATTACTCCAAAAGGGGTGATTTTTTTTTTGCATGTAAATAAATATTTTTAAATGAAGACAATAACAAAACAAGACCTCCTTACTCCTGTCACCTTGTGATTGAAGTCCACATTCCTTGCCTCATCAGACACTTGGTGATCTGGTTCTGTGCCCCCAGAACTGACAATTAATTATCAATTAGTATGAGCTCTCTCTGTGTACCAGAGCTGTCCCAGGTCTTGCTGATACATCCTTGAGCAAAGCCACCCATCAGCTGTCATGGAGCTCACATTCTGGAGCATCGTAAGTACATAACTAGTCAGGAGTGCTAAATTCCAAAATGAAATAACAAGGCTGGGAGGGAGAGGAAGGTGGGCCACATGGATTGGGAGAGGAAAATTCCTCCGATGGGTGGCATTTGAGTAATGACCTGAAGGAAGTAAAGGAACAGGTTACATGGGAAGACAGTTTCTGGCAGTGGGCACAGCTCGTGCAAATGCCCTGTGGTTGTAGCAAGCTTGACCTACTGAGGACTAGGAAGGCAACCCCTGCTTCCCAGAGGCTCTGGGAAGCTAGTGTCCATGTCTACAATGACCAGAGGCTGCTTCTAAGACATCCTATCTCCAATGATGGTGTCTTAGTCCATTTTCTGTTGTAATAACAGAATACCAGAGACTGGATCATTTATATTCTTTAAAAAGAGGTTTATTTCAGCTCTGGAGCATGGAGCTGGCATCTGCTCGGCTTCTGGCAAAGACCTTGTGCTCCTCAGCAACTTAGTGAGACCCTGTCTGAAAATAAAAAGAGCCGAGGCTGTGGCTCAGCCGTTCAGTTCTCCTGGGTTCAATCCTCAGTGCTTTAAAAGGAAAGGGGGGGGAGAGAAAGAAAAGAAAAAGAAACAAAGACAGCCACAGGGCTTGGGTGAATCTCAGGGGGTTATGCTGAGTAAGAAAAGCCCATCCCAAAAGGAATCATTCACATTCTTAAAACCGGACACGTCAAGAAGAGACAGGATGCTGGTTGCCAACCCGCCCCAGGCGGGGGATCTGGCTGTGATGGACTTTCCGTACCTGGCGTACCTGGCGGCCAGTGCAGTCAGCGTCCTGGTTGTGACACTCTGCAACATGCTACCTCTGGAGGAAACCAGCACGTTCCATCTGTTTTCTTTTTTTCCTCTGGTGACTCATTTTCCTTGATGTGAACTTTATTAACTCATCAACATGAGATTTAGTCAATCTAAGCCCAAAGTCGATTCATTTGCCTTTATTTCTCTCTCTCTCTCTTTTTTTTTTTAAAAAAAGAAATGCTCAATATAAAGAGGGTGGGAATGGTAACACTTTCCACTACAGGATAATCTCCTGTTTTCCCAATTAGCATTGCTATTCTTCCATGATACATGTGGAAAAACTTGTTGAGTTTTGCCACGGCCAGATGAAAAACGGCATTTCCTAATTAGCTAATTAAGCTCAATGAACATTTTTGGGATGGAACCATAAACTCTGGCCATTGTTTTGTCAAACATCTGCAAACTGCATAATTCCTCAGCCCTTAGCCATAGTTTCTGTTCAATATCTTAAAGCTGAGTTTAGTTCCACTGTGATTTGTCTCAGGGCTGAAGTGAGTGTTAGTCATCAAAGTCTGGAATGTCATCATAGGAATAACCCCGGTTGCTGGCAGCTGGAAGTTTGCTGGGGCCCCTTTGGCTGTGGCTCTCAACACCCGGTAGCCTTTAGACGCATAGTAGGCGATGCGCAGATGGTAAAATCCTGGCAGGAACACCAGAATGCCAATAATCAGGACAGGAACGGCCCGGTCTGCTCCCCCTTTGCTAATGTAGCCTGACAGCAGGAGGGAGCCTATGATAATGAGAAAGGCGCCAATCAAAAACAGCACAGTGGCAAGTGCAATGGCCTTATAAGGGATCTTAGGAGGGCTTTTCTTAAACTTTAATAAATTGGATCTCATGACCTCAGGAAAGAATGAAGATTCCCTGAAGGTCAATGTAGCCATCATCTGTGCTGGAGAGCCTTGAGTATTTTACTTTACTACTGGGGATTCCAGTAGCCAGATTAGTACGAGACGGCATCATAACACACGGACACAGCTACAGTCCGAGCACCGCGCTAAGACTGGAGCTAAAGAGGAACTCGCCCACGGCTACCAGCCGAGGCGTCCCAGGCCTCATGGCACAGCCAACCTAACCGCCGACCTAGCAAGTACCCTTGCCTTTATTTCTCAATGAAAGTCCCACTCAGGTCAGCAGCTTTACACTGCATCTTCTCCCTGCAGGTGCACGGTGCCCATTAGACAAGTCCAACAACAGAGAACTCAATCTGGTGTGATTTAACCCACTGCTTCTCAAACTACCCTTTGGAGCAAAGGTAGTTTATGGGAGTCCTTCCTCCTCCCTCACCCCTCCTCCTCCCTCCCTCCTCCTCCCTCCCTCCTCCTCCCCCCTCCCCCCTCCTCCTCCTTCACCCCTCCGCCTCCCTTCCTCCTCTTCCTCCTCCTCTCTCCTCTTCCTCCTCCCCCCTCCCCCTCCCTCCCCTCCCTCCCCTCCCTCTCCCTCCCTCCTCCTCCTCTTCCTCCTCCCCCTCCTCCCTCCCTCCCCCTCCCTCCCTCTTCCTCCTCTTCTTCCCTCCTCCTCCCTCCTCCTTCTCCTCCCTCCTCCTCCTCCCTCCTCCTCCTCCTCCCGGACAGTCCCTTGTCTTTTGAACATTATCCTTTTATCAACATTTTTTCTTCACT